ACAACTTTGGTTATGATCATGCAAATGGCTTTTTCCTCTCCTGTAATCGCCTTCATTTTTACCATATTAATCAGCCAACATTCGATTAAACTGTCACAATCATAAATTTTTCTTTTTCTTTTTTTGTATGTCTAATTTATCAATTGGATCTATTTGTTATTGATATAGTAAATGAGACGTTGTCCCTAGTTTCAGCTCAAGTTTTGTTTTTTCAACATCAAAGTTGGGAGTAGATTTTATACTGCTGTAAAATATCAAACTATTTTATGGTCAAGTGTTCTGTTTCTAATGATACTTCATATATTTAGTTGTTGCAGTTCTGTTTTTGAAGTGCTTGACATAGGAAAAAGGAAGAAAAAAAAAGGTTTCTGTGTCAGGTTTGTGCTTTATGCAAATAGGAAAATGAAAAACAGACAAAAAATTACTTGGTGGTTAAATATTTACTGTTCAGAGATGCTTGTACTTTTTGTAATCTTTAAGGATATGCGTTTGCTCTTGGTACCAATCCCATATTGTGCGTCTTGCCCGATAGTAGTTTAAATATTCCATTAAGCCGAGAGTTGATATGTGGCTTTTTTGTTTTTGTCTTCACTATGTAATTCAGGTAATTTTTCATGACTTTCTCATCACAAGGGCTACTCTTAGCAGCTTTGGTAGAAATGAAAGGAATCTGAATGGTGTAGAGCAAAAGGTGCAATTAATTAGCCTCGGGAGGGTGCCTGAATCAGGAGCGTGTTGACATCCTTTTGAGAGCAGCAGTCCACAGAAGCCTGATAGACGGCTGGTGGCCGTTTAGGTACCCCCCCGCCCTCCCCCCGTTTTGTTTTTTTGTTTTATTTTACCTTCAAGAGAATAACTAAAGGAAGTTGGGTTTCTTAAGTTGCAATAGGATGTTTTTAGTGTCTTTTCTATTCGACCTTATCACCCAGGTGATCCCATTATGAATTATGTGCTGAAATCAGCGATGCAAAGTTTTCCTCTGTGCTTTTACATATTTGCCTCTTCATTGGTAGTGTTTTCATGCTTGACTTTGACACTGGCTGCATGGGGACGGGAGGGGGAGAGAATGCTGGGATATTTTGACCTTAAGTGCACATTGAACGAGGCGGCAGGGTCAGATTAAACTTACCCTGCTGGACTGTAATCTTTACTTTGTTTTAGATGGTAAATGGTTAATCTTTGGTGCTTCACGAAACATTTCAAAGCCTTTATTTTTGACCCACTTGCCCATGTGATGCTGACTGACTGAAGCTGGCCTTTTGGATGCCACAGAAAGGCACGTTCAGGAAAAGCTGTTCCCTTGAGCCGTGGCTTGCAACCTTGAGAAAATACTGTCCTGCAGACGGTAAAAACACAAAACAAAGGTTGCGTTCAGCCTCTGGTGTCAGCACGGTGGCGTCGGTTTCCACTCGCTGACGACGTGGATTTTTACGCTAACACAGAGTCCCATGGTTACACTACCAATGACCAGAGCCGTCAGAAAAGCCGGTTCGGTTATTTTTAATAATCCTTTTCTTTTATATCTACTTTGCTTCATTCTACACACAATGCATTTTAACAAAGACTCACATGACAATCCAGTACAAAATGGTGTGCCAAGCAAATTCTGTGTTAAGCAAAGGCTTCAAAAACCTGTTTAACGTGACCCAGGCCTGTGCAGTGAAAGTTATTGCAGCATTTAATTGAGTCTTACTTGTGGTTTTAGTTTGCAAATGAAGCTTGCATGTTGAGCCTCATTTCTTTCTTTCTTTTTTTCCTTTTTAAATTGTATTTATTGAAAAACTTGCCAAATGAAGGTACTGAAATGGCCATTGTGTTTTTGGTGGTTGAATATGCTGCGTGTTTACATCTGCCATTCTGCGCTCTCTCTTATCTCCTTTATTTGATTGGACTGTCTATTGTTTCCCTGGGTCAAAGGCACTGAAAATACACCGCTGCAATGGGCCTGCGTTCATGCAACTTGTCCATTCAAGCACGCTCGTTGGTACTCTGAGGTGTGTGTGTGTGTGTGTGTGTGTGTGTGTGAGTGAGTGTGAGAGAGAGAGAACACTTTGATGGGTGTTGCTTATGCTTGAGGTCCATTCTGGTTTCAGGGATGGATATAATGATATTAAAAAGCTCTTTGCATCTTTTTTCCTCCCCTTTTGTAAGGTTGACACACCGTATTTAGGACCACTTGACATGATTTTTCTTTTCAGACAATTCAAATTTTGTGTAGTGGTGTACAAATTGAAAGTAATGTATTTTTTTTGTTTTGTTTTTTGTTTTGTTTTAAAGTATACCAAATGTAAATTCTGTACAATGAGTGTGCCAATCCCCTTTTCTTTGTAAAGCCAGACTCTTAACAAGTGCCAATGTTGTGGAAAAAATTCAGAGGACCTGTGGATTTCGTGGTCCAGTTTTTAAAGCAAACACTAAGTGTGTGATTAATTAGCAAAAAGGACAGTTTTATTCTATATTTAAGATTAATGATGAACTGCTGTTTTTAAAAATAAGTGTCATTTTAACTGCATGCGTTTTGTCAGGTTGGGGGAGGGAGTGGGGGGTGAGATACTCTATCCATGCAACGCCCTCGAGAAAAGGGTCCTAATGGTTATTGATTTACAGTATTTTAGCCATATTTCTCTATTTGTATGTTTCATTTCAACCACTGTTGCCTGAACCTCATTCATACATGATGATTTTTACATAGCCTTCTCCTTTAAATGTTTTAAATTGGAATAAAATATGTTCCTATACTCTCTTCTTGCATCCCTGTACTTTTATTCTCAAGTATTTTTTTTTTAAATAGTGACTTGAAGATTCCACCATTTAAGGTCTTGTAATTTCTGAATGCATTTTATCCACATGGATTGGAAAATGACTTGTTGCATAAATACTGCTGCCCTTTGGAAAGCAGCGACCTCTCTCTGCAGTCTTGAGGTAGGATGCTGTTTAGTGAAAATGGATATTAACAAACAAGTGCTCAAGTGACTGGGTAACAAATCATTTTGACTCTTGAAGGTAATCGCACACTACTTTTCACAAAACTATTTTAATAATGCAGCGCACATTTATTTATTTTTAAATTACTTTTAGCGCCTTTTAAATATGAGATTAAGACGTCCTAAAATGGGTTTTGAAGTATGGAAATCCCAACTTGTGAAATGCATATAAATATATACATTCAGTATTTGGTTCAGCCTCATTTACCGTGAGTTACCCCAAATTGATGCAGTGGATATGATCAGCATGTGCCGCTGCGGAGGTGTTGCTGAACCAAAGTTAGATTTTTCTTATCCTCCTCTCTGTGGGGTTTGAGTCAGGTGTGTGAGCTGGCCAATCAAGTACAGTAACAAGATGGTCAGCAAACCATTTAGTGGTGGTTTTAGCACTGCGGGCAGGTGCTGTGTCCTGCTGAAAAAGGAATTTAGCATCACCGTAAAGTGCTCTAAAATATTGTCATACGCTGTGTTGACTTTGGACTTGGTAAAATGCAGCAAGCGCCAACACAAGCAGATGGCATGACACCTCAAATCATCAGACTGGAAAACGTTCACTGGACTTCAGACGCCTGGATTCTGAGCCTCGCCTTTATTTTCCAAGAGACAATGTGCTAACTGAACAGTTCTTGTTGTCTTTAGCCCAGGTGAGATGCTGTATAGACGCTGTCACTGGCTCAGGCGTGGTTTGATATTAGGAAAGTACATGAACGAGGTGCTTTATGCTTATTTTGTTTCTAAGGAGCCAGACTTTATTGCAATTTTTAAAGTGGTCTTGAACAGTTTCTACAGCTGATCTAAGAGTTTTTCAAATTTTTTTCTTTAGGCATCAGATGCTTTTTCAGTCTTGTCCTTGACCATTTTCAGAGGAATATTATTTTTTGTTTTGTTATGCCACTTAACACTGACCTATGAATCATTCAAGCATACAAAAGGCCCCTAACTGAAGACACAGTTGTCTACACATAACAGACAACTTGGCAAATAATCAGTTTTAAAGTGTATCTTTGAGCACTCTGTTGCCACCAGTCTGACGCAAAAACAAATAAACTGTTTGAATTTTAAGATGACAGTTTGACAGCTATAAGTGTTTTGCCCTAAAAAGTGATTCAAAGAAAGCCAAAGAGGCTTCACACTGTTGAAGAACAAAGGTGGTCAAACTACAGACTGAATTTCAAGCATCCAGACTGTTTTTGCCTCACATACGGTATTTCCATGCATGTTTCCACTTCGGTGCAGTCATTTATTGAATTGTCCCATTTTTCCTAACAAAACAAAGCAACGAGGGGTGATTCAGAACTTTTGCATCTTACCGTACAGTTAAGGAATTTTCATAACTTCACTCTTAAAAGTATAAAACACACTCACTGTGGTTCTATTAAGTTCTATGCCCATAACTGTGAATTTAAAGGTAAATAACAGTCATTTGCTCCCAGTAGAGTAGAGAGTTCACATAATAGATTTCTTCAGTTCAGCTCTCTACAACAGGGATGTCCATTTTACATCGTTTACTTTGATATTAAGTGGGCCGAACCAGTGAAACTTCTGTTTCTGTCAGTGCAAAGCAGTTTAACTACACATTTAATCCCTGAGATATCTTAATTTAAGAAAAAGAAGTGCAATTTAAGCACTTAAAATTCTCAGCTTTTCTAACTCTGTCAAGTATGACTGCTTGATGTATGAATTGTAAGTGTGGACCTACTTTTAAAAAAGTTTCTGTAGTAGCTAAAAAAAAAAAAAAAGAAATTTCAGTTACGTTATTGTCTGTGTACTTTGGTGTAGTGTGAGTGGACATAGGGCAGTTCTGTAAGTCTAAATTTGATTCCCTCATTCAAATGTTTCAAAGCCATTGATGGGCTGGATTAGTGGTTCTCGGACGGATTCTGATGTTTGTCTAACAACTAAAACCTATTTTTTAAATATTATATTTTTAATGTAATAATTGCTCGTTATTCTTGGCGATAAACTATGGCACACAAACCTCCAGTGGTGAGTGGGGCGAGCTTGTGTGTGCTGACCTGTCCGCATGAGGCGCTGCTTGCTCAGACTTGGGCCTGCTGCTGTAGATCCGCGGGGTGTAGAGCTGCTCTCCGCGCATCTATCCGTGGTGTTTCTGTGTGGGGCGTTCAGCCCAGCAGCGTCGCCTTTGCCTACCCACCAGCTTCGGGAAGGGGCTGACTTTCTGCCTCCGCTGCCGATCCTCCCGCACTCCCTCCGTTCAAGAGGGGATAAACACAGAGTTAAAGTCCAAGCCGGGCAGCGTTGCAGTTTCAGCGTTAGCGGCGATTTTAATTTATTTTTTATCCCCCCTCCCTCTCTCTCTCGCTCGCTCCCTCCACTCACGCGACTCAATTGTTGCCGTTGGACCAAACGGGATTGAACTTGAAACGAACCCGCAGACATTTTGTTATTTCTGAGATTTCTTCTTCACTTTTTTCATCCCTGTGGCGGCTGCGGGGAGCGAGCCGCGAGCTGTAAGGGGGCCAACGGCACGAGGCGAAACACGGTCGGCGTTCACCTTCCGCTCCGCTCGCGGGCTGCATCCAAACATTTACTGCACGCACGGCGTTATTAATTTACCTGCGCTGAGCTCGCGACGCTGCCGCTCGTGCGCTAAAGCGGAAAGCTTACAACGGCGATGAATCATTTTGACTGACAGCTTTTGAAGAATTAGCTAGCTTTAGCCAGCACTGATGGTGCTTTCCTGCTCACGCTAAAGCAGTAAATACGGGGTCGGGACAACCCAGATAGGACACAGACTCTTTTGCCTCTCTAACGGCCGCAAAGTGCATCACTTATAATCGGCTTAATTTTATATTTATTTATTTTGTTTAAAAGAGGTGGTGGGGTGGGGGGAGTCCCCTAGCTACTGTTAGCTAGTCATCCTGCTAACGCTGGACAGCTCCTGTGTACGGCTGGGCTAGCTTTGGACAAAAGAAAGAGCAACGCAAGGGGAAATATAAACATCGTGTTTGGAAAGGAGAGCAACAAACAAGGAACTGACATGATGTTTCCACAATCAAGGCACTCAGTAAGTGGCTTTTCATTTCAGCACTGTTGTCTGCTACGTGTTTACGCATGCAGGTTGAGTCGGGGAGAGAGGAGATTACGCATGTGACTTGTTTCTTGGCTGCAATTAAACAGAGTTGCGTTTTTGTTTTGTTTTTTAGTAAGAAGAAGCAGTGTTTGTGGGGCAGTAGCACAGTGTTGGTTTCTAACTGGCACCGTTTAGTTCTGTAGAGGACGTGTGGACTCGACATGGCAGTATTTGTAATATTTGCATTGAAAAGCTGTTAAACTTTTTTTTTTCTCCCAGATGATTGCACTGAAAATCATCCAAATCAAACACCTCAGTTGAATGCTGTCACGTTTCATAACCACACGCTGCTTTCACTCCCTTGTGCCGTTTAGTTTCATTCTCCAAAATGCCAAAAAGCAGGCATTTAGGCAAATTGAGCTGTGCACTGTTACATGCAGGTGGGTGATTTTTTTTTTTCCTATTTTATTTATTTATTTATTTTTATGAGTGGAAAATGCACATCTCTGTTCTCCTAAATTCCAAGTTTCCATGGTAACAGATACTAGTCCAGGGCATGCATTCATCAGTGAGGAAGACTCTCAGCCCTTTGGTCAAACATTTATGTTTAGTGACTGGCAGAACTGTGTCACCTGTCACTGCATGGCTTTAGAGCCCTGATTCTATTAGCTAGAAAATTAAATTAAATAAGTATGTTTTTTCAATCTTTCTGGGCTTACATGTGACTTAAAATTACATTGGAAACCTTCTCCATTGTGTTATGAGAAACCTTTTGATGGCCTCCAGTTTTTGCCCTCTGCAAAGGTGAAAGTAACAGAGTGATAGATCCAGGTAAACACAACAAACAGCAAAAAGACTTTTGCTTTGCTGTTATGAATCATGCCCTCTGTTTTTCTCTGGCAACATTTTGTTGCCACCGCTAGTTCTCTTACTGTTGAAAGGGTAAGGGTTGTTTGCTGAAGCCGAAACCAGAATGTCTTCTGACACGAATGCTTTGCCCTTTGGCAGTCTGTGTGGCAGCCTGATTATGCTGCACTGTGCTGCTGCTGCCACTGATGTGAGTCTTCAGAAGTAGGATGGAAGGATTTGGGAACCTCTGGTTGCAGTCTGGCTTGTCAGATCGGTGAAACCCTTCATAAGCACAGAGTCCCAAGAAACCTCAGCTAAATTATGTTATTTTCAATGCCATCTGCAAATCCGAGAATACATAAGTCTCTGTTTATCCTTATGAATATCTCCTAAAGCAGAGAGTTTATCAGAGGTATGAAAGCAAGAGGAAAAAAAATTATTTGTCTACAACCATTTTATTAGCATAATAACCAAATCAGATACAATTACAGCCTCTTACATTTTGTTTGTCTTTGTGCTAATTAATATGCTTCAGTTACAAACAGACCTTTCACAGTTGTTGAGGTTTGTGTAGCTACAACGTGTAGTTACATATTTTGGAAAGTGCAGGTCCAGCATGGCGTATGGAGCTCTCTGAGGTCTACCCTGTAGATTAAACACAGTACTACAAATCAAACATTAGACAGGACACAAATCCGTTATTCTTTATGTGTATTTAAAACTGCTGAATTTCATGTGAGAGAAAGCAGATTTGAATTATTGCTTCACTAACAAACTGCAGTTCAAGGTGGCTCTCATGAGCTTGGGAGACCACTCCCCCTTTACCTCGTAATCCATTCCCAAACCCTGCATTTATTGCAGATGTACTAAATTGAACCCTAATGCATAGAAAACACCTTGTTCTTAGTAGCAGAGCAATCCAGTGTAAACAGTTACGCAACTTTAGAGCCAGTGTAATCTACATCAATACTTGCATCAAACAGAAAACCGATAGCTGCCGAGAGGCTCGATGGATTCAAATGCAGTGTAGCGCTACTCCTGTTCTGACAAGATGTTTTGGACTTCCTCTTCATAACGTGCACTGTCAAGCGGCAAGAATGGGTTGACATTAAAGTTCTGCCTGCATATGAGGATTTCCTCGGGTCACAGGGTGGCAGCGTACTTGACTGCTTGCTTTAAATGTGTTCACTGAACTGATCATGGTGATTTCATCTTTATCCTCACCCCGCAGTTCTAAATTAAATTCATCGAGCAGGCCGGTCAGATCTGTCAGGAACGCTAAGTCCAAAAGCTACTGGCAGTCCTCTAGTTTTGCATGTTTTCAAGCTTCAGAAAATCAACTCTTTTAGGTTGTGTAGTGTTCATACCTCTGAAAATGTCCTTAGTAAGAACAAATGGGCTTAGAATTTGACAACGTTTGCGTACAAGTACTTTTGTGCCGTCTGGTTACAATTTAGTTATTTCCTTACTGTGAAAAATTGCAAGTGTGTATGTGAGAGACACTGGGGAGTTTTTATTTGTCACTTTCACCATGAAGACAGTAACATGTTGAACTTGTTTACAGATAGAGATGAATACTTGAGTCTACCTTGATTAGAGGACAGAAGTGGATAGATATCAGGTACAGAAACAGGAAAAACTGTAAAGTCATAACATTTAGTAGCATTTAAAAAGAAATACTGAAAGTTAATATTAAGTGTTTGTTCTGTGTAACAGTCAATTGAGTCTGTTAGGTTACCTAATTTTTGTAGTGGCTGTCTAAAAGAAAACAAGTACCACCTGTGCATAGTCCCAGCAGTGTTGCAACTTGAGTCTCCTGATAGAAAAGAACATTTAGTCGTTATAGTTATTCATATAAACACAGGTGTACATTTTTGTGTAAGGTGTGTTGTGTAAACCACAACACTGTGGAGCTACTGCAATAACGCAGCTGCCAGCACCTTGTTTACTTAGTTGTTTACTTGCACTTACTGCAAGCATCAATAAAACATTGTTCGGTTTTTTTTTTTT